TTGCCGAGCGGACTGAAGGTTGACAAAGCCATTGACAAGCCCGAAGAAGATTACACGCCTCGGAATGACTATGATGCTAAAGAATGGAAGGCCTGTAAGTCACCGCCCCTAGCTCACTCGAGCTCCTTTAGTTGTCGCGTCCCATGTGCTGACGGTGTGGCGTTATTTAGATGATGCCGACCTTTTCCACGACATGCCAATTTGTTTACAGCTTGTCGGAAAACACTTCCAAGATGAAGAAGTGGTACAGGCAACTAAGCTGGTTGATCGCATCTTGAAGGAATAGATTTTCGCTCTTATCTAGACTAGACGCAAGGAGTTGTCGAGGCATCGGCGCATAAATGAGTAGACTTAGATGCTAGACTTTCCACTTGATCAAGGGGCTTGGATAGATAGACTTCAATATTCAACAATCAACACATGCCCTCTTAGTTTCTTGGTACTTGTGTGTACATAAAAGGCGGTTACGTTGTATGTTTCGAGGTAGCGGGCGACTGAGGTAAAGAACTTCAATCAAAGCCGTCTAGGAAAGCGCGAGAATTGTGTTGAGTTGCGTCGCTCATGGCATCAGAATCTTTGGGCCACATCAGTCGGCCTTACAAACCGTTCTGTTTCCATGAACGTTGACACTGAAAGGCCAATGGCAACACTCCCACCTCACTGTAGCCGACATATCAACAACATGGCTTGGACTTTAGGAGGTAAGAACCCGTCAAGATAGACTAGAGTTCAGTGACTTTGTATCGTTAGAGTGCCTCTTGATTGTCCATCTCTCTTGAATGCCGGGCTTTTTCGGTGCCGCACTCCGTAGATATGTAAGGGCAAGGTATTACGCAGTACCTAGATAACAACGCCCGCGGGCAACCGGCTATGATATCCGATCAGAAGAAATTTCCCCGCCGGAATAGAGACACCGTAGCACCCGTAACCTTGCCCATGTCCCCTTGTGGGGTTTGGCTGAACTGGTGGACGTATTTTTGGGGGAGGGGCCGAGGGTCGCCGTGTTGATAGGGCAGTCCTAGGCTGCAACAGATCATTGTGGTCAAGCCCTGGCCAACTGAGCGATCGCAACTGAGCGGGGTCTGCGATCGCTGTCGGATGCCTAATCCAGACGCCAACGGAATGGGACAGCCCATGAGTTGAATCAACGTCCGGTATCGCGACCATCATATCACTTTCGTATTTTCTTCTGAAAGGTTGATACTGATCTCTTGTCTTAGAACACTTGCCTGTTGAAAGCGATAATTTTGAAGCCACCCAAAGACGACATAGACTATCGCCAGCGCCTTTCGGGACGGTGATCAATCCTTGTAGAGCAAGTCCAACTCACCCTAGCTGGACCATACGCAAGCAACGTGCCTCTTCCCAGGCAATCAATATGACCAAACTCATCGAAACCATCGACCTCTCGAACACGTCTGCGGCGTACTACGCCCCAGCCACAATCACTCGTGCCGGTTCCCTGGTGCACGTATCAGGCTTGCCCGGCAACACCAAAGATGGCAAGGTGCCGTCAGACTACGACTCCCAAATTCACCTCGCGCTGCTCAACCTACGCAAAGTCATCATAGCTGCCGGATCGACGGTATCCAACATTGCGAGTTTGACTCTCTACATTGTGGACTACGATGCCTCTAACCGCCAACATGCCCGCCACGTCCAGCGGTTCCTGGGAACGCACCGCCCCGCAATGACACTCGTTCCCGTACAAAAATTGGCGGTGCCGGGCTGGCTGATCGAGATCAACGCCGTGGTCGCCCGACCAGAAACACCCTCGGTTCCTCGAGGCCTTCCATCGGTGCAGGAGAGTGTCGATGTTGTCATTATCGGTGCGGGATTGGCGGGTCTCTCTGCCGCTCATGAGGTCCGACGGGCTGGGCTAAGCTGCGTTGTGTTGGAGGCCCGAGATCGTGTGGGCGGCAAGACGTGGAGTCAACCGATGGAGGATGGCAGGGACAACGGCGTGTTCGACCTCGGCGCGGCGTGGATCAATGACACGAATCAAAGCAGGATGTATGAACTTGCGAAGAGATATGGCGCTGAGTTGATCGAGCAGAACACCAACGGTAACTGCGTTCTTCAAGATTTCGATGGCAAATGCAGCCCTTTCCCGTACGGGGAGCTGCCCAAGGTCGGTCTCGAAAACACCCCGTCAGATATGAGCATTTCTCACATGTTGGTCATGGATATAGTTGAGTGAATCGACGCGCGATCATCTAGCTCAGATCAGGGACATGGCAGAAGCAGACTGCCAAGCCCTCGACGTTTTCAGACCACGGGACACATCTCTCGACTCTCTCACATTCGAGGCTTATCTCAAATCTCGAGGTGCCGATAATGTTGCTTTAGCCACAGCCACAGTCTGGACACGGGCCATGTTGGGCCAAGAGCCAAAGGACATCTCCGCACTGTACTTCCTGAACTATTGCAAGTCGGGCGGTGGACTGCTGCAGATGCGATCGGATAGAAAAGATGGAGGACAGTATCTCCGGGTCCGCCAAGGCACGCAGCTCTTCTCTAAAGGGCTGGCTTCGTCATTGCCTGAAGGAATCGTCCGTCTCTCTAGCCCCGTTCAGACTGTTGTACAGAACGAGAATCGCTCAGTTAAAGTCGAAGCCGGCGGTAAGGTCTACTCAGCGCAAAAGGTCATTACGACTGTACCTGGTCCCGTCCTCAAGTCGATTTCATTTCAGCCAGCGCTACCCCATACGAAGCTGGCCTGGATCGAGTCACAAACATACGGATACTACACGAAAGCTATGATGGAGTTCAGCACCCCGTTCTGGGTCGGGAAGGGATATTGCGGCTTGGCTCAATCTTTCGTCGGCCCTGCTTCTGTAATTCGTGACACGAGCAGTCCGGCAGACAAGAAGTTTGTACTGACGTGCTTCATGGCCGGCGAGCCTGGCAAGGCATGGGCGGCAACGACAACCACCGAGCGAGAGAGCAGCCTACTAGAGCAACTGAGTCAATTATATGGCGTTGAGAATATTCGTCAGCTCTTCAAGCAGATGGTTTTCTACGAATGGGTCACCGATGAGTTTTCGGGATTGGGATGCCCTTGCACGTCACTCACTCCTGGAGTTCTTGACACGCTCGGTGGAGATGGGCTTCGGGAGCCGTATCGTGATATTCATTTCGCGGGGACAGAAACCGCAGGTGAATGGAAGGGATACATGGAGGGCGCTGTAAGAAGTGGAGAGCGGGCGGCTGTGGAGGTTGTGAAAAGCCTTCAAGGCGGTCTGATATCACGCCTCTAGTTTCCTCACGTTTCTCTTGGTTAATAAGCTCGATGATATTACACAAACCTGAAGATGTCTTTGAGCACTGTGCCAATACAAAGCATCTGACTTGGCTACTGAAATTGAAGTTATAATCTGAGGTTACGTGTTCTACTACCGGTCTATATTACCATTGCTGCACGCTGACTTATAAGAAGCGTGGTAACAGCCCCAAATGCTGGGATCTGGCTCAAAAGACCACTACCAACAGCTCATGGCGTTCAATGTAGCGGCGTCGGGCCTCTGCATTGTCGCCGTTCTAGAAGACCATGCCGCTCAGACAAGGGACGAGAGCGCTGTCGCGCGGTGCCGGCCTCTGTGCATCAGCCTGGTGTTTCGCCCACCGGCATGGCATACAAGCTTCATCCATTCACCATTGGCCGATCTTTTCACTGGTCCAGTGAATTAAAGTTTCCCCTTCCGAAGCATTGGTACCGTGGTGTTTGTCGCAATAGCCAAGCAGCTACAGATAATGCCTGGCTGTTGTTGATGGGTGCTCGGTAACCTCGGTTTGTGGGGGAACTACAGGGTATTAATTGGAAAAGCTGCCACTGTAAATCAATCCAGTGCGATGGACTCGGGATTCTGGGTAGGCCAGATTTGACACGTTAGATGTATCAGGCCTCTTTTGACTTCGACCAACGGCCTTGGAGGTTGCGAGTTTGACATTGGATGTTGCGCTTATCGATGGGATTTTCTTTCACATAAATGTGGTCAGCAGTTCAAATACTCAGCTTGTACGACGCATCTCAGGTCATCGATGAGAGCGGCTTTGTTCACTCCCAGTCCTCAGCTAAACTCGATTTGTAGACTTCTCTTTCGAGGCACCTCTAGATTGCTTAAGGCAACTTGATTTATTGCAGAGAGATACCGGCATCGGCAGCGACCTACGCAATCAAAATGCTTACCACCTCATTCCAGTTGACTCATGTCACACCGATTCCCGACTACATGACCCGCGAGGAGGTCCTCTCCCACCTTCACAATGCGGAAGTCCATATCAAGAGCGACCCCAATTTGACACACTGGACGCCCCGCACGCCCAAGGTGCCCCCCACTGTTCCCGACGATGTTGATTCCATAGCGGTCACTGAGTGCTATACCATCACGGATACGGTGCCTACCAACCTCCCAAAGGCCCTGCCCAAAGGCATGCTCGAGAAGAAGAGTGTCAGCGAGTACGAGTTTACCTTCACCCCGGATGGAAGTTTCGTCAAAATCCACTGCCCCATGAGCGTCCTTTTGGAAACGCGGTGGCGTGTTCTCAAGGGTAGTGACGGAAGTCTGGAGTTAGAAGAGGTTGTGGACGCTCACTGCTCCCGTTTCCTCGTGGGCGTTGTAAAAGGCGAATTAGAGAAGAACTGGGTGGAGGTCCACAGGAAGATATTGACAGGGAAAGCATGAGTGGCAGGATTACAGAGCTTTCATCGCGATAGACGTACGCAACACATAATACAACCACTCTTACCCGGACAGAGAGCTTCAGGATGTCTAAGAACCAAGCAGTCATTCGCATTTAACAAAAGAAAACACGACATTCGATGCAGGCCCGCGTATCACCTGGAGATCAACTTTCCTTCGAATTATTCGGAAATCACAGTGTCGACGGTCCAAATTAAAATACGCGCACCACTGATCAAGGGTTTTCAAAGCTGATCGGTTATAGTATAATCGAGCTTATGCGAATCTCGAGAGGCATTAAAAATTCTGACATGACCATTACTCTCCTTTACACAGCTCTCCACGCGACTTCCAGATTTCATACTCAAAGTCGGGTTGAAACTCTGTGTATAATGTCTCCTGTGCATTCAATCGGGGTTAGCCTTCAGCCATTCTCGTCAAGGTTGAGTACCACACAAGCTTCTTTTACGTACCGGATCAGCATTAACTTTGGCTGTGAACTCGGCCTCCTTTTCCCCGATCACGTTCTTGGTGAGACCTGTGCTTTCCACCATAATCTGAACCTCGCATGACTTTTCCATCAACGTGAAAAGATACGCTGCCTCATCAACCGTGCCTCCAGTCGTTAACAGGCCATGATTCTGAAGGACAATGACGCGGCCCTTTTCACCCAGAGACTCCGCGATCTTTTGGCTTTCGTCTGCTTCCAAAACAACACCACCAAAAGACCTGTACACTGCCTGAATTCCCCAAAAGTTGCAAGTGTCTTGACTGATGATGTCAAGTGGTTTTCCGAACGTTGACCAGGCTTTCCCGGCTGGCGAATGTGTATGACAGGCCGCATGGATGTCAGGGCGAGCTTTGTGAATGGCGCTGTGGATCATGAAGCCTGCTGCGTTAACAGCTGCCTTGTTGCCGCCGATGACTTGGCCTTCTTCGTCAATCTGAACCATATCACTAGCTTTGAGCATACCAAAGTGTTTCCCAAGCCTGAATTGGTGTTAGAAGCAAAAATTTCGAGATATTGACGATTTCTCAGGGACATGGACTCTCACGGGTTGATCCAGAAAGTATTCGGGTCTACCGGGTCGCGAACGCTGATATGCCCACTAGTTCCTTCGGTAAATCCTTTACGCGCAAATACTCTGAAAGCGCCAGCCATGTGCTCAAGCTGCCAGTGTCTCTTCTTGTACGGGTCTGCGATTTTCGGGATGCCAGGAAACTCGTAGCCGCCTGTCGATAGGGCCGTAACTCCCGATTTTTCCACAGGCTTTTCGACCACTAGCGGTGTTGCTAGGGTTTCTGATGAGTTTGTGATAGTTTGGCTAGGTGCAGCTGTCATGGTGGTAGTTGTCGACATGGTCGTGGTGAAGCCTGTGCTTGGAACACAGAATACTTGTCCTCGCACTTGACTGCAGCGGTGAACTGGACGCGATTTCGCGTATCTTACAATGGAATACGGTCAGCTCGTTTACGACGCTTCTTATCCAGTAGATTATGTCTTGATCGGAGTTGTCTTTACGAAAATGAACATTGCCCTAATTCCAAGCACAACCTGACGTCCTTGACGATCGACCTGATCATGTTGCATTGGGTAATCAACTGCGACTAACTGCTAGCTTCGCTGTGGCCTTCCATCGCGGGATCTACTCCTACCTGCCTTATCATTGTCTCCACTCCAATCGGCGCCCGCTTGACGAAGAGTGATAAGCTTATCCGTATCTCTTCCGGGATTCTCTCCGGGGCCCCGTGTTTATCTCCAAAACCAGGGCCTTCCGGGAAAGCAACAGATTACAAGGTCGGTCGGATGGGTCCCAGTCACCCGCTGCCCTCGCTCTCAGCTTCCTGTTTCACACATGCTTAGGAGAAGCCAGCAACTCGATCTCTGTCTGGCAACCTCGACTTGACCGATGTCTTCTCCGAGGTCTGCAACGTATCTTGCCCGAAGACGGACCAAGACTTTCACTGGTTGCTGGACATGCCGCTCAAGAAAAGTCAAGTGCGACGAGGGCAAACCACACTGTTCTCCGTGCAAAGTACGGGGACTTGACTGCCAAGGTTATGGTGTTCGGCTTCAATGGCTGCATCCTGAGACTACGGTCCCATCAGATTTGAACTTGTCTGATATCGGACTGGCCAAAGATGCATTAGCCTCCAGATCTCGGAGGCGACAAGTTCCAATTTGTAGGCTTTCCGATCACCGTAAACACTCTTATACGTAGTACTAAGAATTACGTAGCACTCACTCAACAAGTTCTGACATGGAGTCAAGTCGAGGGGATCCTTAAACTCATTGACTCTGTGGAACCATCGTCAGCAACCAGCTTAAGCGATGACGTGGGTATTCACGTAGAGAATTTCGGAGTGTTTGATGCAGGAAAACCATCGTCTATCGATTCTCGGAACCCTACCGGCACTTTCCTTCTGCAAGATACTTTGACGACAACCGAGACTTGCGATGAAGAGTCTGAACGAATGTTGGGTACTGACCTGGCTCTTTACACTTCCTCTCCAAGTGTGCCAAATCCTGAGAGACAGCAGTTATTGCCATCGCCTTCATACTCCGAAGCTGAAGTAGCTTGGGAGTTGTGCAATCTGCATGTGCAAGGGCCTTCGGAGACGGAGGTAGATAGTCTATGCCCAGGCTTTGCCGAAGACCATTCAGACAACCTTCAAGACGAGGGAGCCGCTGACAGAGTCTCGTCTTCTTCATCAAGACATCAGCGTTGGCCCGGGATAAGCGTCTCCACGGAACTTCCAAGGCCACCGATGGCAGTCATCTCTGAGAGAGAGCGATTTCTCATGCATCACTACATGCATAGAGTCGTCAACATATTTTGTGTCATCGACAATACAAAGAGTCCTTGGAAGACAATACATCTGCCTCGAGCTATTCAGGGTGCCGGTGAGCTGAGTGTGGTGGGCGCAACATCTAGGATCCGCAATGCCCTGCGAAACGCGCTGCTCTCTATAAGTGCCTACTACCTCTCAAACGTTCAGGTATCAGAAAATAGGCTGGAAGTGAAGTTGAAGTGGGTGGAGGCAGCCACTCTCTATCGTTATAACGCCATTGGATTACTCAAACAAGCGGTAGAAGTTGACCTCCACGCGCCAGAAAGACCGAAGTACAAGGAGTTTTTAGCAACAATGTTGTCAATGATAACAATAAACGTAAGATATAATTTCGTTCCGTTGTCTCGGGGCAAGCATACAAGAGTATCGCACCACCTCTGCATGGGGATTGAAGCTTATGATCACCTATCGGTACACGTCATATCCCCTGTATTCTCTTTAGACCTTGCTCAAAATCGATCAAGTCTCTCTGTATCTCACTGACACCTAGGCTAGGTTATGTCAGGAGACACAAGCACTTGTGGTGTTCATCTAGACGGCGCTCAACAGTTGATCATCCACATGGGGGAGGGAAAGCCCAGACTGTCTTCAAAGTCTCGAGCTCTGCATAGGATCTACTATTACCTTCGAGTCATTTACGAAAGTACCGCTCCCCTACGAAGTCCCACATGTCGCTTTTCGCCATCTTCCGGAGAAGGTGTTCTTCATATGCCCCATTCTCCAGGCCAACAAGTCTCCACCAGTACTTTCCCTTTCCCAGACGAGGATGCAATATCTTTGTGCTCTGAGCCTGTACAAGCAGCAAGCAAGATGGCATCATATGAATGTATCTATGGAATCCCACAGAGCTTACTCGTTTTGCTTCAAAGAACCATTGATCTGATTGATAGGGTCGATGCGGCGAGGAAGAATCATAGCATCACATCGATACCAAGAGATTTGGACAGAATGTGCGATGATATTGAAAGAGATATCTTCGACTGGCCACTCGACTTGGAACTCACTCGGTATCGAGATGCCGACATTGGCACGAGCTTTGAGATCATCTATCACCAAACACATTCATTTCACAACGCTCTCATTATTTACTTCTCCCAGAATGTCAGACTACTCAGCCATAGGTATCTCCGCCAGTATGTGACAGAGGTTCTCCATGACATTGAGACAATCGAGAACATCAAGGCCGAGACCAAGCTACTTGCTGCACCCCTCTTCTGGCCGGCTTTCATGGCGGCAACGGAAGCTCATGATCAGCGTCTTCAAGACCGCTTTCGCCAATGGTATACTAAAGTTGCGGTTTACGGCATCAAAGCGGTGAGAACAGGAACTCAAGTTGTATATGAAGCGTGGAAACGGGGGCCCTCGTCTGATGGTCGTGTGACGAGCCAATGGCGTACGGTAGTGGAGGAAACAGGGACGACTTTGATGCTGACATGATTCCTGGAACATCGAAGGAGAACTTCTAACTCCCAGAGGCTGGTATGACCTAGTGCTTGAAGCGAATATCCTTACGGTTACTGCCCTCGTCTTTCGTCGTCTCGAGGTAGTGAATCCTCTCCTGGAGGCCACCGTTAGCAATGGACCTTACAGGGGACTGTTAGGAAGCTTACCTCTTCCGTCATTGCATTCCATTCTTTTTCTCTTTTATTGTTACACCACATATAGAATGCCTTAGCGATCAGATAAACGCAGATGTTCATGCAGCATATTCCGATCAAAACCCGGTTGCCACGTCGGTCTTCATTATTGCAGATCTTGTCAGCCTTCCACGACAGGTATGAAGCTATGCCACGGCACTCACATTCTGGTCTATCGTCTTCCCGGTAAATATTCGAGTAGATGACGCGAGCAAGCTGAACCATCATGCTGGCAACGTCGACCCATTAGCTAGACATTCGTAACCTAGCAGAATTTGGTGCTGATTTACTTATACAAAGCCGCGGAAACGGCTCTGGTACGAACAGAGTGAGAATTTCGAGACGCCCAAGAGACGTGCATGGCATGGGCTAAGGTAGTAACGTCAGATCAAGTCACTTCTTGGTTCTCAACAGAACCGAGACTTACGCGATGGATAGGACAGGAGAACAGTGACAACAGCGTACTGGGCCCAGGGACTAGCATCTGCCGGGAGGACGGCCATAGCAATGAGATTCGGAAGGTACCACAGCTGCGTGAAGGCACCAAACAATGCTCTCGTGTCCCATATCTCGGACAGATATGTCATGATCAACATGAAAATAGCTCCCAAGAACTGAGGCGGGATACTCAGCAAATTAGTATCGTTCGTGTTGAATCCAAGGTTGCGGAGAGTCAGTGTGAGATATTGGTCGGGAGGGCCGGCTGGAATTTCCCAGAGAAGACCAAAAATGTAAATGGGCCAAAGCTCCCAGTCAGCGAGAGATTTGAGAAGCAGCTTGGGGGTGATTGCCTGCCGATTGTGCATATCACATTTCGAGGGGTCGTCGCGAAGGATTCGATTGACCAGGATCTTCTCTTCCTGTTCGTTGAACCATCCGTTGGGTCGCCACCAAGCCTTTGTTTGCGTTGGTGAAGCCGCCATTGCGAACCAGGACCAGACACTGATTGACAGTGTAATGATCCCTTCAATCAGGAAGAGCCATCTCCAGCCCTCGTAGCCGTTGATCCCATCCATGCGAAGGACACCAAGCGCTAATAGGGGTGCGACGATATCCGTGATTCGACGAACTGTCCAGAACATGGCAAGTCGAAAGGGGAGCTCGGTCGACTTGAAGAAGTACGTCAAGTACAAGACCACGTCGGGAATGAACCCGCCCTGAAGGACACCCAGCAGTGCACGACACACAAGGAAGGAGGTTCGACCACTAAGCCAGAATTGACATCCCGACACCAGACTCCAGGAACACATGATGAAGGGAATCCAGCGGTCCGGGCCGAGCTTCTTGCTGACCATCTGGGACGGCAACTCTGCGCAGAGGAAAGATATTTGGAAGACTGTGTTGCCGAGGTTGTAGTCGTTGGTGTTCATGCCAAGGTTCTCGAGGAAAGAGGCCGAGTTTGCTTGACTTAGATTGCCTCGAGGCAGGTCGAGAGCGAAGAAGGCTGTGGTAACGTTAGATATAAGCATTGGAGTTCATACACCATGTAACACGTACCGAGACACGCCCATAGTGTGACGCGCCAATCCATCTTTGTTATCAGAGGCAGCTCCTCGCCCCAGCTCCATCGGAATGTCGGATCAAAACGATGCAGATTCTCATACTTTGGATGTGGCTGGAAGAACTTCGCAGTAGAAGGGTGGTCGTAGACAGATGGCTGTGTCGCTATCGCACTGGGATCATACCCATTCTTCTTCTTGAAGAAGGACAGAATGGGGATGATGGGAGCATCCTGCTGGCGAAGGTCTGCTTGCTCGCGGAGGATGCGATTCTTCGTTTGCTCGATCTCCTCGTCTGTCGCCTCCAGATTGATCGTGTCGTTATCTTTCTTGCTCTCGGGCTCTGAGGCCGGGGCCGAGGCCGAGGATTGCTCGACGATTTGCTTCTCGGACATTCTTAAGTACACACATAGGCTCTTCGAAAGAGGTGGTTTCTCGTGCAGTCTCAGCTCGTGCAAAGAATCCTCTTTTCGAAATCGGAATCAAGGGGGCTGAGGACAGGATATCTGAGGATAGACATGTCCAGATTGACTATAGTGAATACGACTATATAGTCATTGGCGTGACACTGTTGGCGAAATATTCGTGCCTTACGCGCCTGGATATTCCATCCGTAGTTGACAGATACTTTGCGTGATATTCGATCCCTTCTACCCGGTCATTTAGCAACAATGACGAAAAACAGGGGCAAGACATTGCCAAGTATGCTCAACACTGATAGCTCGACACTTCATGGCAAGACGCCAATGATGTTTCCGTAGACATCACTGCAATTCCCAGCCAAATCCATTTCACAGCTGATTCCCTCAAAATTGTATTCTTGGTAGTGCTTGGCCGTGGCAGTGTTCGCTCCTTGTCGACAGCGAATGAACTATTCGACCCCCGAGGATGGCTACGAGAAGAGGCGACAAAAGAGCAATTGGGAGGGATACTGGGATGATGATGCGATTTACCAAGAGAAAGACGTGCTTTTTCTGCGATAAGTCTGCAATGGCAAGACTACAGGCAGTAATTAGCGGTTGCTTGGTAGTCTTGGTACTGCGCCTTGGCAACTTTGTTCGGGAGGCGAGCGCTGCTTTTATATTGAGCGGTGCCGATTTCGCAATTTGGTTGAAGCATGGTGAAATTCGTTCGAGGTTTATTCCACGCTGAAAATCTTGTTATTAACAAAAGTACCTCGTGAGATTTCTTCCCTCTAAACTTCACAAACTACAGAGTGGTCCCGTCTGGTCGCAAAGCTGAAGTTCAGTTTCACCCCTAGCATGTTGGGAGAGCCGGGGCCAGTAGAGACATGGCTAGCCTCTAACCACAAGCAATGAAGGCTATTTGTGTACTTGTGCGGTGAAGATGGTTCACCTATGCGACTATAGCCTCGGTTTCTCACCATCGAAAAGGCCACCCGGAAGTCTTAGTTATTTGTCTATTGTCGTGATCTATCTGCGTGTATCATAACCCATGCGCTGCATGCGTGGTAATTATTATGCTCCCAAGGATCTGCTCCCGTCTATAACTTCTAATCATCAACACTCCAACACGAATCTCAACCCGAATCCTCACTCTTGACGACTGTTTTCGGACCAGAAGGGAAGACCGGACTGGGACCTGAGAGTTCCATAAAGAGCCGCACCATCTAGGTTCTCGCCACCGTACGCCCTTGCGCTGAGCATGTTGTTTGTCGCAATGTCCAACGCCGGCATCCTGACGCCAAGGTCGTTGGCGACTCGTAGCGCATGTTTCGCGTCCTTGATGGTGTTGGACACAAGGAATCCAGCCGTTCCCTCCTTGGGAGCCCATGATCCGCTGGTCATCCTGCGCGAATAGCTCCCCAATACCGGTCCGAAGTTCTCAAAGATGAGATCTTCCATCACGTTGCTGCCAATACCGTTCTGTTCCGCCAACACCTGCGTCTCGGCAATAGCCTCGAGGAAGACAACGAGAAGCACGTTCCTGCAAAATGCCCTGTCAGCGATCACCGTAGAGTCATGCATGCTTCTTTATGCCACATACCCTGTCACCTTTAGCATGGGGGCTTTCTTGACATCCTCGCCCATGTTGATGACTTTCCTGCCCATCACATCGACAATCAGGGGTTCAAGGCGTTCGATAGCTGCCATGGGGCCGGCCATGGCGAAGATGAGTCTTCCAGCCTGAGCGACCGGGTTGGCGCCAAAGACGGGCGCAGCGATAAAGGTGGCGCCGACCTTTTGCAGGGTTTCCGATACGGATCCCGCCGTGTCGGGGTGTATTGTGGAGCAGTCGATGAACGTCTTGCCGTTGAGGTCGATGCCGCTTGCGAGGAGTTCCTTGACTAACGATTGAAGAACCGCGTCTGCCGAGACCTATTTGGTTAGTCAGAAGGCATTCTTGAAGGCAGAACTTTTAGACAAGGTGATGTATCATGTCGAGACTGACCATGGTGAAAATATCGTCGCATATTTGCGCGACCTCTACGATGTTATTCTTTGCAACAGCACCTGCTTCTACCAGAGCGGCTCCCTTTGATACAGTGCGGTTTGAGAATGTCAGGTTGGCGCCGTGAGATTGAAGCTTCTTTTGCAGGTTGATGGCCATGGGCAAACCCATGGATCCAAGGCCGAACTGCTTCTTAGTTAGTATATTACTCCAGCAAACTAAAGGTTTTGCTCTTCAGTCCACTTACCCAGCCGACAGGCTTGATTTTCTGCATATTGTGTAAGTTATTGTGTGAGTAAGGTCTACGTAGGTAGGTGATAAAGTGGCTTTAGATTCAAGTCAAACGAGGTATCGTGATGATGATTCGAATCAAGGTTGATATTCTCATCAGTATTCATTCATCTTTTTTTCTTCTATCGTTTACCGGCCTTTATGTCTGGCTCCTCGAAGTCGTGAAACGCATTTTTGCCTCCTTTGTCGGCTTGCGACCCGACGTAATGCGGCGATGCCGTGAGGCCAACATCGCCGGCGGAGGATAATGGCTCATCGCCTATCAATGATGTGGACAAAAGATAAGCTTCAATCTAAGCTCGAATCGACGGAATCATACCTTTTACTTACAACCTCAATTCTCTTTCTGCTCGAACGCTGATGCGGTGCAGCGATGCCGGCCCGCAATCCGAGAATGGCTGATAAGCATCTCTCGGATGATCCGCCCGGGGCCCACTCCGCACTCAAACAGATCTAAGAAGCCCGCTTTCGGAGTCCAGGTCCGAGCATTCGACCCAAGTGTCTTTGGTCTGTTTTAGCACTACCTACATCGAATTTCTTGGCCGATCTTGCTTGCTGTCGGATTACAGACCGAGGAATGGTGTCTTTCGGTAAAGATCCGATCTTATCTTTGCATTTACATGAAGGCGGATGATGTTAGTCAGTTTCGGGGCCAGTCGCTTGAGCTCTTGGAGTATGTATGCGCCTACCAGGCCGTCGATACCCGTCAAATATCATCTCCTTCCAACGACAATGAAAAGATTCATACTTCCATATAGATATACACACTGCTTAATTTCAAAGAAGGGCTTAAGAAGAAGCCACGACGTGACTCGCGCACTTGTCCTGGAAGGGCATTGCTTTGCCTCAGGTGAGTTTGGGTCAACTCGTTCTCTTCACACATCCCATGTTTCCACATTACCAATTATCGTCTTGGAGTATTTAATCACATAAGGCCAATTGCTGACATCTGAATCCAATAAGACTAACTAATGCTCACACACGATTAAACACGGCATGATCTATCCCAAGCCTTGAGCGAACGTTTTCCCATTCTTAGAAGGATAACTAGTGCTTATTCACACATCATTTCAGACCAAGGCGAGCTTGGGGACCATATCCCCTGTTGTGGTATTTCGAGAAACCTGCTGGTTGAGACCGGACAAATAATCTTACCTTCCATGAGAAAAAAAGGTCCCGAAGGTGACGGAAGGGTGTGAAGTCTACTCGATTTCTTTCTGTCAGGATCAAAGCTTGGGCAGTTTCCACAATCGTGAGCCTTATCTACTCTAATGATATCTTGGAGCTGTTCGCGTAAGACCTGTGGTTGCGAGACGAACTTCCAAAGTTGCATTCTATCCCAGTCGTCAAACGAACACCTTCCGCTTCAAGCACTTGGCATTATGTTCCCCCACTCACAGAACCTGACACCATTACCCTCTGCGCGGCATGGCTTCCACGAAGAGCAGCTCGACGGCAGTGCATATGTGAACAGCTCGTATTAGAGCTTGCTAAGATTTGAATTGCCTGACGCGAAAATCGAGGGGTATGGCAGGATGCGACAAACATCACAGAAGAAGAGGAGCATCAAATGACCAAAACCCCCGATCCTGCACCACTGTATAGTTGTCGATGCTTCATGTTTTGAGCTTTTTTTCTGGATATTGATCCAAGTTCTGCTATCAACAATCTTCAAGAGCTTCAAGATGAAATGAGTTTGTATCTTTGGCATCGCCATCGCCTCTCTTGTTGCGCAAGGAGCTGTCGCGCCGCGTTCGCAGCAACAACAAAGCAGGGCTGCAATTCCTGGCAGATGGATCGTCGCTCTCAAGTTAGGCATCGACAAACGCGACGTGGAGCAACACCTCGGTTGGATTCACGGTACTCACAGGCGGAGTTTGTCTCGCGGTCAGACGAGTGGAGTCGAAAGGACATTCGGAATCGAGAATTTTCATGCCTACACTGGCGAGTTTGACAAAGAGCTGTTGGCCGAGATTCAAGCCAAAGATGAGGTACGTTCACCAGACGTAACGAGATAATAATATGTGACGATGTCCCCATAACTAACCAGAAGACAGGTCATCGCAATCGAGCCTGACCATGAAGCTGCATTGACAGCTCTCACCGAGGTCAGCGACCAGCCTTGGGGTCTAGCCAGCCTCTCCTCTCGAGCAAGACTCGCCAGCGCCGACGTGGATCATCAGACCTACATGTACGACTCGAGTGCGGGAACAGGCACATTTGCCTACGTTCTCGACTCCGGGATTCGCATCTCCCATGCTGGCTTCCAGGGACGCGCGATCAAGGGCACCAAATGTTTTCCCCGAAGTTGCTCACGACGATGATTTTGGGCACGGCACGCACGTGGCTGGCACCATTGGATCCGTAAGGTTCGGTGTCGCAAAGAATGCGACCCTTGTCGACGTGAAGACGACCAGGGTTGCTTATGGCACGACGACCAAGATTATCGAGGCTTTGGAGTGGTCTGTACAGAATATCACCAACACTCCTGGGAGGGCTGGCAAGTCTGTCGTCAGTATGAGTCTAGGTAAGTCGTACACTCCTTCATTAGAACGCTCACATCTGACCCAACCCAAGCCACTGCTACATCCACAGCATTGAATGATGCCGTCGACGCAGCCACAGCCTTGGGTGTCTTCATCGTCGTCGTCGGTGCTGGGAACGATGGAAAGGATGCTTCCACGAGATCACCAGCTAGCGCGCCGACTGACTTCACCGTTGGTGCGATTGACATTAACAGCACTAGAGCTAGGTGGTCCAACTTTGGGCCTTCTGTGGAGGTCTTTGCTGCTGGGGTGGATGTGAGATCGACTTCTGTGTACCAGGATGGAACTGATCTTTTATCGGGAACGTCAATGTCAACACCACACATTTCCGGGTTGGCGTTGTATCTCGAGGGACTGGAGGGCTCTGTCGTGGACGCACCGGCGGCGATCGGTGCACGCATCAAGGAGCTTGCTACCAAGGACATAGTTGCCGATCCTGGAGTTGGCAGTCCTGATCTTGTTGCGTATAATGGGAATGGTCGACGATGAGGGGTTGAACGGTGCTAGCTGGAATATGTTGACCACAGACCGGAGTTGCCTCCGATCAAGGTGAGGGCACAGACCTCGAGCCGTCACCGAAGCTCACCTCGGTATGAGTAGTCAGCAAAAGCTCTAGTGTCTTTTCTTCCACCGCCCATTAAACTCAGAAAAGTTCCAGGCAGGATGGTCTAGACCTTTTCAAACACAAAGCAATTGAACGCAAGCGCCGGGCTCCTGCGGGCTTATCTGGGACACCAGCTGCGGCATGACGTCAAACTTCCCTGTCAAGTTGGAAAATCCAAGGCAGAAGACGCCTGGAATTCCGCTGCGATTCGACGCCAGTCCCAACAGAATCGACGGGCCAGCCGTCCATGGATTCATGGATTGATGGCATCCTGCTAGCGTCGCGCCATTTTCCAGGTTAGGGGCCCTTTGTTGTCGCAGAAAGCGCATGTCGTTCTGCGTCTGGCCATGCGTTCAAGCTACTGTGTGGAATGTTGCGGTCCGACGATTTGATTTGCTCGCAGTCGCCGCGTCAACCTGCGTTTTATGTTGCATGAGGAGCAGCGTAGCAGCTACGATGCATCGTAAGATCTTGTTGGTGAACCAACCGATAGGAGAAGTCGGTGCGTACATTCTGTAGCTCGGCGGTCGGCAATTCAGAACGTATTACTACTTATATGGTATAGAGGTTACCTCTTCTTCTTCTACAGCCTGACGCCTTGTCCCGATCTCTTCTCTCTTCTCTTTTCTCAATCTTTCCTCTTCCCCAAATTCCTGGTCGCCAATTCACCCTTGTCCTACCCCTCCTCGACCCCTCCAAACCCCTTCATTCACTCCTCCGCCAGCCGTCAACCGCAACGGCACAATCGCCCATCATGGGAGACCAAGAACCGACCCCCGAGAACCACACGATGATGCAGGGCTTCGAGTGGTATGTGCCTGCGGATCAGAAGCACTGGGTCCGCCTCGAGAAGCATGTTCCCCAGCTCAAGCGATTCGGTGTGGATAACATCTGGATCCCGCCAGCGTAAGACGAAGCTCAATTGAATCGCGAAGATCAAGACCAGCCCAATTGACTCTCAAATCTAGGTGCAAGGGATCATCAAAGACTGGAAACGGCTACGACATCTACGATCTGTACGTATTGCGACTGATTTCCTCCCGAACCGGCGCATCTTGCTAATCATCCTAAAAGCTACGACTTGGGCGAGTTTGACCAGAAGGGATCCGTAGCAACAAAATGGGGCACAAAGGAGGAGCTTTTGAAGCTGGCGCACACCGCCAAGGACAATGGCGTCGGCATCTACTGGGACGCCGTCCTCAACCACAAGTTTGCGGCCGACCGCAAGGAGAAGTGTCTGGCTGCCGAGGTCGACCCCGACGACCGCACAAAGTTCGTCAGCGACAAATACGAGATCGACGCCTGGGTCGGCTACGACTTTCCCGGTCGCAAGGGCAAGTACAGCGAACAGAAGTACCACTGGTACCACTTCAGTGGTGTCGACTACAATGCCAGGAACGAGAAGACGGCAATCTACAAGATCTTGGGCGACAAGGGCGACCAGCAATGGGCGGAGAGCGTCGATGACGAGAAGGGAAACTAGTAAGATCAGGCATCCCGTTGGCTGGATCATAGACCATGCTAATGATGTGTAGCGACTTCCTGATGGGTTCTGATCTCGACTACGACCACCCCGAGGTTGTCAAGGATGTCCTCAACTGGGGCAAGTGGCTGGCCCAGGAGGTGCCGCTCCAGGGCATCCGTTTCGACGCCATCAAGCACTATAGTGAGGACTTTTTGCGTCAATTCATCACCGAGCTGGATAAGGAGTACGGCAAGGGCTGGTTCTTTGTCGGCGAGTTCTGGAAGGACAGTCTCGACGACATGTCCGAGTACCTGCAGCGCATGGGCAGGCAGTTCACCCTCTTCGATGCGCCTCTGGTGTACAACTTTAGCGAGATCAGCAAGGGCAACGGCGCCGACATGAGAAAGGTCTTTGACGGCACTCTGGTGCAGAAGGAGCCCATCAACGCAGTGGTACGCATCACCAGCATCCTCCCTTTACTCCTATCACATTGACCTAATCTAATGGCACGCAGACCTTGGTCATGAACCACGACACGCAACCCTACCAGGCCCTGGAGGCCCCGATCGAGGGCTGGTTCAAGCCCATCGCGTACGCCCTCATTCTCCTTCGCACCGACGGATACCCCTGCGTCTGGTACGGCGACATTTACGGCATCAAAGGCGAGCACCCCTTCCCGCCCTCGTGCGGCGGGGCCGTGCCCAAGATGACCCTGGCGAGAAAGCTCTACGCATATGGCAAGCAGGCCGACTACTTTGACTACGCGACGTGCCTGGGCTGGGTCAAGTACGGTACCTGGGACCGCCCCTACGGCTGCGCCGTGGTGGCTAGCAACGCCGGGCCGGGATCCAAGCGTATGCATGTTGGTGAGATGCACGCCGGCGAGGTCTGGACCGATGTTTTGGGCTGGAACGACAGGGAGGTTACCATTGGCGACGACGGCTTTGGCGAGTTCGTGTGCTCTGGTACCTCGGTGAGCATCTTTGTCAACAAGAATGCCGACGGCAGGGACAAGTTCAACGAAGAATTGTGAGTATTCATAACCCTATGCAAGAAAAGAATGTGGGCTAACCTTGACAGTGACTCCAACATTTACGAAGAATAGAGTAGATATCATGGAATCAGGCGGGCGGAAGAATTGGACTTTCTAGAATAGCTACCAAGTAGCCGTAGATTTTATGCTTCACAAGTATGTGCTTGATGGAAATACAATAAGTTTAATTACATGGTCGGAAGCAGGAACAATAGTCCTCTTCAGGTTTGCGCCTCCGGGCTCTTCAAGTGCTCTTGCGTTCATGACAGGTATGCCTGTCAACCCTTAAGTCTCTTCCGCGCCACAGCACTTGAGATACACACACCAACAGATCGTAGCCACAGATATCTCTGCAGACAATGCACATGCTCCCCATAGGTGACGGGATGGAGGCTCGCGAGAAGACTGCGGGGAAGCAGGCGGCCGAGAGGTGGGCCCGTAGCCCGGACCCGAAGACATCCCTACTCGTCTCCTCAATATCAGTACCTCATATCTAGTAAGTGCGGGGGCATAGTACGTCAGGCCGGCGGCGCAGGACGTCCAAGCATCACTCTGACCTCACTCGGTATGGGGTTTGTGTTTGTCATTGTGGTTTCTATTCTATCCGTGATTATTCTTCTGAGTCCTGACCGGGCCGGACGGAGCTAATCCCCTGGGTACGGCGGGGCGGGGCCGGCCCGGTTAGACGGGACCCACCCAATTCTCTAAGCACGCAAAGTTGAGCTTGTGCGTTTATAGTAAAAATTTGGCATCTTTTGCATGCGATTGTCGAGCGAGTTTCTGGGTGATTACATAACGGGTGTATTTCATGACAAAAAGATTGAAGGTTGTATCCTCGGGCGAATCACTAACAGATCATTAAAACTTGTTCTTCAGCTATGACCGCTGTTGCTGCTAACCTGTCGGCGAGAAGGCCAAAATCACTGTGAAGAGTCTTGAACATCGCACTTATCGGACAGAGGGAATTGGGCTCGTTGGTAAAAGCCGAAAGTCGCAACGTGCCCCCTGGACCCTGTGCCTCTTCAGCCTTATTCCAGTGTTGAGGATCCGTAGATTGAATCCCTTTTGTCCGGCACATGATGTCAAAGAAAGCTTAAAAGCCGGGGTATCTGAGGTTTCGGCGACAAGAGGTATGACTTAGATACAGGTCTTAATTGATATACTTGTGCATCCCCGAAAAGTCCACGACTCAATCCCCGCGTTGTGCGCCATTCAGTGGTTCTTTACTCCGTAGCACTCCACAGATGTCTTATCGCCGATGGGAAAACACGGCAGAGCGGTTCCGCACGTCAGGCATCCCCGCCGTGGGGGCTTCAATTTCATGCTCGATGCTCCAGCCTCTTCCTCCAAAGCTCCAAGTTCCAACACCATCCGAGATGCCAGGCTCCATCCGTGGATGCCCCCATTCCAAACATCCCCCCCCCCCCCCCCCCCCCCCCCCCCCCCCCCCCCCCCCCAACCCCGCGGCGCCACCCACACCGCGCCCCCCTCCCCGGCGCCCCTCCCCCCCCCCCCCTCCACCCCCCCCCCCCCCCCCCCCCCCCCCCCCCCCCCCTTGGGCCGAATGCAGTAAGTGAATGCGGAGTAGCTACACTGAGCTTCGATTGGACTGGAAGCTCGCTCCGATCTGCTGTGCTACGCTGGCTGCCCACATCCACACAATCCACCCATCAACGACCCCTCCAATTTGAAAGCTCCTATCGTCGGCCTTCCAATGGCCGCCGGCGCATTCGCACACCAGAAGCTGGAGGAAATAGAAAAAGATGCTCTCCTCTCCTCCCCTTCGCCTGGGCATCGCTCGCGATTCCTCTTCACTTGCCAAACCCCTTCTCTCAACTTGTTCATTTCCTTGTCGGTCTCGATTCTGTGATACCCCCCTGATCCGACAACGCCACCTCAACCTCGACCCTCACGCGAAAAGAACACGCCAGAGACACCCAGCGGCGCGTCGCTTCTTCTCATCGGCCCCTCACCATCGCCAATCAAACATTGTCAACAACATCGCCGCAATGTCCGATCTCTCTGTTGAGCTGACGGCCCCCAACGGCGTCAAGTACACCCAGCCCACCGGCCTTTTCATCAACAATGAGTTTGTCAAATCTGCCAAGGGCGAGCTCATTGACTCGATAGACCCTGCGTGAGTTGTTACTCAATCCCTCATCCCTCATTCTCCCTGTACATCACATGCGATTCCCTCCTGCTCTGGATGAAGACACTGACAACCTCACCTCCCAGCACCGAAGAAAAGATTGCATCCGTCCAGGCTGCTGAGGTCGAAGACATTGACAAGGCCGTCAAGGCCGCACACGCAGCGCTGAGACACGAGTCCTGGAAGGGCATCTCGGCCACGGATCGTGGCGCCCTCATGTACAAGCTCGCCGATCTGA